CGCCGGCACAGGTGCCCCAGCGCCGACACCCCCACAGCTGACATACCGACATACCGGCCGGCCTATAGCTGCCGTCGGCACCGCGCCGCTCGAATTCCCACACGCCGGCGCTGGGCTATCGTGTCAGCATGCACACAAGGCATGTGGGGCACGCTTAACAGGGCACTTGGACGGGGCAGATGAGAGAACATGGTCGCCTGGATTTATCATCGGGGTGGCGTGCGCCGGTGAAAATGCCAATTTGGTTGATGTATCGCGCCGTGTGTTCAGCTGTGGGAGGTATGCCGGGCGTGCACCCTTTACCAGCAGACTGGTGGTCCGGCTGGCGGTCAGCGGAGTGTCTACAGATCCCGCCGTTTGGCAGGGGCTCGGTGCCTACTGTAAGCAGCTAACACCTCACGCAACAGGACCTTAGATAAAAGAACCATAAGCCTCTGTATAAAGTAGCAGATAACCTGAATCATCATTACACGGCTCCAAAGGTTGTTCACATGGTGCTGCCCTTTATTATAAATGTGGATTGTTATTCTTCCTCGGGGCCAACTCTCGCCTGCTCTGCTTTCACTCTCGGGCGCCATTTGCCGCCATTAATCACAACATCTGCTTTAGTTAATTGCTTATTCCGTAATTAGAACACTTAAGGGTCTTAATGGTACGGTGGCAAACACCCGAGCAAGATAAATTAATATCAAAATAGAGCAATTAATTTATAAATCTACAGAGCTACACGCTTTTACAATGGTGTGGCAAATAAGAGGAGCGGCAATATGCTCGTCACGGTACAAATGTAAGAACCTCTGTGCGCGTGCCGCTTCCCACCTTATTCTCTCGAGTAACAGGAGCGCAAGGTGGCGAAATACGAGACAAGTCCTGCAGATGCCCAGAAAGCCGGTATGTAGGACTGATCTTGCGGGTGTCCAACAGGGCGATACCTAGGGGGTAAATGCTACAGGACACCTTGTCCAATTAATTCAAGTTGACAACGTTTATTTGGCCAGGTGGCCGGCGCCCACAGGACCAGAAGGTGCACAGGAGGGTCCTTTCAGGAGTCTCCAGTGCAGACCGCACCCCGGGAGTGTAGTATCCTGCCTCAATGGCTCGTCAGTCACCTGTGCGTCTCCCTGCCAGCAGGCAATGACTGAGCTATCCGCGGAGGTGGCTGAGGTATCGGATCAGCTCCTCTGCCCGGAGGTGGCTGAGGTACCGGATCAGCTCCTCTGCCCGGAGGTGGCTGAGGTATCGGATCAGCTCCTCTACCCGGAGGTGGCTGAGGTATCGGATCAGCTCCTCTACCCGGAGGTGGCGCGTGGACGGCACCAGGTGTTGGACGGGCCGACTGACGCCCGCTGACGTTACATCACAGCCGTGTCATGGACTGACAAAGCCCCCTCCTCCTCCTCCGGCGGCTGGATGCGTCAGTGAGGAGGAGGCGGCGCCCGAGCGGTGCGCAACGCGTCTGTACCGGCACCATCGGTGGCCGTTCGAGACGGCGCAGCAAAGGGCAGGGCCAGTCGAACAGAAAGGGCAGGGCCAGAGCCGGAGCGGAACAGTAAAGCGACGGATCAGAAGCGATGGCAGCGAAAACAGAAAGAGCGGTTTCAGCAGATATGCAACTAACAAGGTCTACCACGGTGACTAAAAACTTCGGACAGCGTGGCGTACCTATCACTTAGGTGAACATGGCCTTCCCTGTGTCGCCCAGCTCTGGAAGATGCTGCGTCCATTACTCATCTGGAGAGCTAGATATACGAGCGAATGTTTCATATTTGACGGCCGAAATAAGCGGGGCGAGCAGATGTTAATGAGGATGAGATATGGCCTCATTAAGTGTTTACCATTCATTACGGCACCTGTCGAGTGTTTGCCCACCTGGACAGACACACATACAAACGCCGACACGTCTCGGCGGTCACGGCCGTCCGTTCCTCCCACACATATCCACCGGCCGGCGGTACTGTGGACCAGCGATCACGAACGTACCGCCGTCAGTGCCGGCAGCGGCGGCGTCTTACCTGGCCAGGCCAGTCGTCACGAGGGTGCTCCTTTCACCGCCGGGGTTCACCAGTCGCCACTCCAAACAACCACGGCCGTCCGCCCACCACTGGCTGTACCACTGACTGTCCGCACCGGCGGAGTGCCCAGTGTCCGAGCCGTCACCCACGGAGCTCACTGCGTTCGACACCCGCCGCCCACCGGCCTCCGCTCGCCGCGCACTGAAGACGGCCCTCGGCAGCCGAACGGCCGGCCGGCCGGCACGCGCGTGCCTCCGCCGCCCGCGACCTTGGTGGGCACTGCCATCTGTCGGCGGACAGCGGAAACTGACGCCGGCCGATCGGGGACGGAGGCTGCTGACCGATCGGCCGATCGACTGGGGTAGTTCACCGCTGACCAAGTGCTGCTGACCGCTGACCCAACTGCTAACTCCTGACCGCTGACTGCTGATGTGACTGCTGACCTGACGGCTGACTGCTGGACTGACTGCCGAACGGCTGGGGTAGGCCACTGCTGACCTTTGACCTGGCCGTCCACTGCTGAGCTGACTGCCAACTGCTGACAGCAGCTCCAGGTCGCCGCCGGCTGAGCGGCTGAGTGCTGGACTGCTGCTGACTGAACACTGACATCGTGCAATAACTTAGCCGACTACAACTGACCGATATGCTTTGGCTAATAAAACTGATCAGCCCTTCTCGTCAGATCGGTGACAAAATTCATTGACGGTGTCGGCCCGCTGCTGACTGCGTTGATGCCCACTGCAGAGGCCCTGCACTGGCTCAGGCCTCAGGCAGTCAGTTTGAACAGCAGTTCGCCATTTCACGTTCAGAATCATTGACTGAATTCGTGGACTCGGCCACGAACCGGTTAACCCACCAACGGTTACGGAGGCAGTCGCCATTTGCGGAACTGATGGTGTTCCACGGGACATCGAGACCGGTCCAATGTTTTAAAACAACGGACACATTACATCTCGTCGATTAGCAGCCGGCCTGTCCGCCCTATCACCGAGATCGTTTGTGTTTACGCTGCCGTTGTGTTTTCGGAGACAAATTAAGGCATTACCGGCCGACGCGGACGGTCTGGTGCCCACCAACGGTTTCCGTTTAACCCTATTCCTGGCGGGGGGGGCCTCAGGAGCCCCCCCCTGAGGTTTTTTGGTTATATCTCCCAAACGCGTTGAGCTAGGAAGCTCAAATTTTCTGACTTTTCCTAAAAGGCTTCTACGCAACATGTCTGAAAATTTTGAGTTGATCTGACCTCAGGTCAGGTCACCAGAGGCGGTTTGGTGACGCTACCTCAGAAAAGTTTGCAATCACGCCAGAGCTAGAGTTTTTGACCGATCAATGTCTTCTCTTCAGGGTTTAGTTAGGGTACCAGTATGTGCAATTTGTATGTCTCGGAATTTTGATATCGGTGACCTAAGGTCAGGTCAATTTCGCGACCTCCCCATTATAAGTCAATGGGGGAAAAATCAACTCCCTGTTTTTACCACTAAAAAGGGTCGGAATGGCCCCATATACCATACATGACTTCATATACGGTCAACCTTCACTACCTTGAGGTTTGTTTTGCTGTTGGGCAGCTGTGAGGTCATGTGACGTCATCAAAGGTCACCAAAGGTTTTTGGCCAATAACTCCGTACAGGAACAAGATACAGACGCGTGGATGGTCTCATTGTGTTCAGCTCGTCAAGACGCATCGAATGATATACATGATGACCTCGAGGTCACGTGACCTGAGGTCAACCTTTGACCTTGACCTTTCGAGGTCAACATATATATCATTCGATGCGGATTGACGAGAGGATCACGATGATGCCCTTAGTTTGTTCCTATCTTGACTAATTCGAAAGTTATTCGAGAAAAACTCTCTCCATATCTAGTGCCGCCATTTTGACTTTTTCGACCCCTGTGACGTCATCTTTGACCTGACCTGAAAATGACTTTTGTAAAAATTGTAGATCTTGGCCGTGCGTATCCGATGCCGTTTACCGCTTGTCGCTATCTTGCTTCGTTCTCGAGATCTCAGGGGGGGGGCCGAATCGGCCCCCCCCCCGCCAGTTTCTTGTCCCGGCGGAGCCCGCCAGGAATAGGGTTAAGGACGGCGTTCCGACGGGCGTGTCCAAATGTCAATGGTCGGCCACATTCCTCAGGATGGGCGGACAGAGCGCCGGGAGAGTTTCCCAATCCAGCCCCCGGGAAGAACTCCCGAGGCCCCACACCGCTTCTAAGCCGACAGAATGACACACCGTCACGCACCGTCTAAGCTGAAACGGCTTATTCATACAAAAAGGTAAAATTATTATGAACCGAAAGTTACCTATTTAAAAAGATAGGAATTCTGTGGAATGTAAATTCACATGAGCCACCCTAGGTCAGCAAGAACTCTTAAGATGCCGGTTTAATTCGATTACCTGCGGGTCGGCGCCCACCCGGGTCTAAAACACGAGGTAAACATGTACCCATAAAATGCAAATTGGCCAGGCCGGTCGGCAGCCTCCCATACCATTATAATGTAAATGAGCCGGCTTACGTCATCACTGTGTAACGCATTCCTGGACGTTACCCCATTGGTGCGAGCTGGCTCATAATTATTTCGACAGCAGAAACTTTTGATGGCTTACCGGGCGTCCAAAACGTAAGCACGCTGCACGAGCGCAAGATGGAACGCTGAAGGAATCTTCACCCTTCTCTATGATGAAATCAAGCATTTCTATGCAAGTAAAGCTTTGATCTGATATTGATGTTGAATGAATGCTACCCAACCAGCATGGTTGTAAGCTGCACGGCTAATTAACAAGCAGGTACACGAAATATTCAGATGATTATCTCGCACAACATTGGGGCACCGCCAAAAGGGACTGCCAACGGATATATGGAATTGACAGAAGGATTATCCGAGACCAACTCATCCTACCACAAGAGGAGGGTCCCGGCGACATAAATATAGACCAAGAGAAGCTCTACTTTACAGTGCAGGTTGGAACCAACTGAACACGAACTTACCTTCGGCGTGCCCGCTGGCTATCTGGGCAGGGGGCGGCGGCTTGTGACGCATTCTGGGTGGCAGCGGGGGGCACTGGTAGACGGGCCGCCCTCCTGTGGAGTGCTCTGACGCGCCTCCTGAGGTCACCTGCCGTCGGAGAGGGACTCAGAGAGTGACCGGCTTCCCTCGGAGGTCACAGAAGAGTGACCGAACGTGCACTCCCCCCAGGAAAGTCACAGAACAGGGATTCGGAGTGTCACAGACACAGGCACTCGGAGTGTGGGACTCCGGAGTGGCACAGACGCATAAACTGCACGTCAGGGCAGCTTTGGGTTATCCAAGTAGGTATGCGACCGAACGAATATCAAATAAAGAACTTGCCCTGTCACGAGCTCGTTCGGCGAATGACATACACGCTCATTAGAAACATGTGCGCCAACTCTGTACTAGGTAGGTACTTAATTCGCTTATTTTCGAGGCATGCTACTAAAAAAGTACCGAGCCAAATAAAACTATTAAGATGCCTTCACATACACCTACACGTCAAACAAGGTAACGGGCATCCCGCGACCCCGCAAATTTGATCCAACTTGGATATACGGAGTGCTGAGTGTGACTGACCTTGTGCTGAGCGAGCTCCTCAAAACTCAGCGTCGGGTCGGCGTTGTTGTTTTTCATCTTCATCGCGATCAGCGTCGTTCTTTTCCTGAAAACACAGCCACGAGCTCGTGTTACTGCATATCGGTTTCGGTTGCACTTTGCATCATCCTATGCGATGCACGATGTCGGTGAATTGTGAAAGATCCCTCGATACGGTGCGATGTAAAACAGAAAGCTAAACGGTAAATTGGTACAACGGAAGAGGAGTGGTGATTCGATCACTCAGCACAACACCTTTATTGGTAACACACCTGTTCCACGCTTTTTTGTGTGATAGACAATAAATCATGTCTGTAAAAAAAAACTTTGTGCTTAAAGTTCACACATTCGCAAGAGCTTCAATATTTGTCGTACCCGTGTTAAACATAATTTGATGAAAATAACCATGTGTAAAAAAGAGAAAACGACCACCATCTGACTGTCATTGATGCGTGTCTCTAACCGAGGAGGCCGGCAGCAGGAGCCGGTCGGCTGCGAGCCGCCGCCCCCGGGCGCCGGTCACGTGACCAGACCGGGCCGGGGTCGGATTACGCCGCTCTCGGGGCGCCCGGCGGTCGTCAGTTCCAAGCAGGTCAGTTCAGCGCCGCCAGCTCACGCCAGTTGTGCGTGAGGAGGCGGGGCGCGTGTTGTGGGCGGGGCTTGTTGTATCGGTCTTTTGAGAGAACATGGAGGAATTGGGAGAACATGGAGTCTGGAAGACGAAAGTGCATTGTTGATCTTGTTGTTACGTGAGTATAACATTCTATCACGACGATGGAGGGGCCCAGTCTAGAAGCAACCAGACCAAAGGTGAGTTGAACATCTAGTAAGAGACATCTGGTTGTTTGAACTTGTATGTTTGTTTTTGTTTGTTTGTTTGGCAGTCGTTTGGTTAGTTCATGTCATTGTTGTTGTGTTTGCAAGCATATCAGGATAAGCTTCTTTTACTTTATATATTTTGCTCATTTTTGTGTACTTTGTTTACAACTTAACATCTTCATAAAAACCGTGCACATGTCGAACACTGCTTATTTAATGCGCTTACAATAATGTTCAAGATGACGCGTGAAATTCCTCGTGCTAGCATCAGAAGGGGCAATTGTGCTTCTGTGCAAAGTGCAAACGACCATGGTAATTCCCGGCTGGCTGACCAGGTGCTCCATGGCAATGCGTCAGTTACTATCGGCGCCGGTCGTCAGCGAGTCGTTCCGGGAGGGAGGTCACCGGCCCAGCGTCACACTCGACTGCGCACAGCGGTCAGAGGTCAGAGCGGCACACGGTCAGCGGTCAGAGGTCAGAGGGACACGCGGGCAGAGGTCAGAGGTCACAGGGGCACGCGGGCAGCGGTCAGAGGTCAGAGCGGCGCACGGGCAGCGGTCAGAGGTCAGAGGGGGGCACGGACAGCGGTCAGAGGTCAGAGCGGCACATGGGTAGCGGTCAGAGGTCAGAGGGGCGCACGGGCAGCGGTCAGAGGTCAGAGGGGCGTTACGGTCCAAACTCCATAGACAAGCGGACATACGGTTTTACAAGAGTTAGGCGACGAAATACTCAGCTTAATTATTAAGTAATGGGCACCATTAGGTAGGCCATACAATTTTCTGTAGTACCGCATAGTCGCTGCAGTCAAAGGTGTTCTGGTTTTTATGCTATATGCCAAAGAATTTTTGCGTGTAATCACCGGTGACACGACATATTTCTGCTTTATTGGGTTGGGCGGTGAAGTCGATGACGTGATCACAATGAAAATGGCTTAGTTTTGTAGAACATTGAATTCTGATTCCGGCACGACTGTCGCTAGTCCATTTTTTATTATAAATAAACCATTAATTGCGGTACAAAGTCAAAACTAGCCCGAAACGGCGCCCGCAGCGGCCGTTAGCACAGCGGCCTTATGGTAAACAGGATAGTTCACATTCCCGCCGCTATGCGAGTGGCGGCGGCGCCACCTGTCCTCATGTCCGCCTTGGACCGTAACGGGGCACGGACAGCGGTCAGAGGTCAGTGGGGCGCACGGGCAGCGGTCAGAGGTCAGAGGGGACACGGTCAGCGGTCAGAGGTCAGAGGGGCGCACGGGCAGCGGTCAGAGGTCAGAGGGGGGCACGGACAGCGGTCAGAGGTCAGAGCGGCACATGGGTAGCGGTCAGAGGTCAGAGCGGCACATGGGTAGCGGTCAGAGGTCAGAGGGGCGCACGGGCAGCGGTCAGAGGTCAGAGGGGCGCACGGGCAGCGGTCAGAGGTCAGAGGGGCGCACGGGCAACGGTCAGAGGTCAGAGGGGCGCACGGGCAGCGGTCAGAGGTCAGAGGGGCGCACGGATAGCGGTCAGAGGTCAGAGAGGCGCACGGGCAGCGGTCAGAGGTCAGAGGGGCGCACGGGCAGCGGTCAGAGGTCAGAGGGGCGCACGGGCAACGGTCAGAGGTCAGAGGGGCGCACGGTCAGCGGTCAGAGGTCAGATGGGCGCACGGACAGCGGTCAGAGGTCAGAGGGGCGCACGGACAGCGGTCAGAGGTCAGAGGGGTACGGTCAGCGGTCAGAGGTCAGAGGGGCACGGTCAGCGGTCAGAGGTCAGAGGGGCATTTATCTCCTTTCTTCGCGTGTGACATGGACTTTCGTTTCTCCGAGCTACCCTTAGCTTTGCCCCGTTGATTCAGTTTTTGGTGAATCACGATATGGTTCACACGGTCTCTCACCCAGTCCTGGCAGCTCACTGGCCCTCACTAGTCCTCTTCAAACCAGCACACAGGGTTGCCGTTAGCGCAGCTCCAGCTCTCCGCCGTCAGCGGGCAGCTGTCGGCTCTGCCGTGGGCTGCCGTCTCCGGCTGCAGTTTCGGGCGGCTCTGCGGTGCGGTACCGGGCCGCAGCGGCCGCTCGTCACGGCAGTCACCCGAATCGGACACGGCTCTCGGCGCACCGCGGGGGACGACGGGGCCGGACCGTCTCCAGACCACGGACAGACCGTCTCTGGACCACTGACAGACCACTGGACCACTGCCGGACCACTGGACCACTGCGGTATCACAGACCAGCCGGAGCACGGCTGATACAGATACAGATACAGATACAGATGTATTCAAACAGGATCCCCTCTGAGGAGGGGCTTTTCACATGTTCACGTCAATGAAAAACCGAAAATACAAACAATGAAGCGCATACATAACTCTTTCACGCACATGCATTCGTTCAACATACGTTCATGTTGGTGGCGTGGCCAGCAGCACATTTTTGACTTTATAGCGGTACGACAGAATACCTGGCTCGACTCCCAGCTCGTTCAAACGAGCTATGCCACGGTAGCAGAGCCTACGGCGGCCTGCTTCCGTACGAATGGATGGGAGTGTGAAATAGTAGGCGCGCCTGGTGTCGTGTCTATGACGCTGGCTAGCCCGCTGGCCAAGTGTACCTCGGAGATATTCGGGCTGTCCGGACGTGATGATGCGCTCTACAGCGCTCACAGTGTGATACGTTACTAACTGTTTGGCAGTCAACCACTTCAGCTCCTTAATGACTGCCACAACATTATCGCGACGCCGCCGACCGGATACGACACGCGCACAAAAATTTACCACTTTCTGCAGTCGACAAAGCTGCGTCTCCCCACACGATCCATACACCGATAAACCATACCGCAACACTGACATGACCAGCGCTCCGACAATCTGCCTCAGGGCTGATCGTGGTATCACGTGCCGTGCGTGTATCAGCGCCGTGAGCATGCCTGTGCATTTCCGTGTTACGGCATCTACATGCGGCACAAAGTTGAGGTGGCGGTCTGAGGCACAGCTGAACGCACGCACTGCACTGAACCGCGCCACTACTGATGGATTATCACGGCTCCTGTGACCTCACCACCCGGTCCGCCTCTTCGTGCCGTCAGAGCTCGGCGGCGCGTGGCGCGGCGCTGCTCAGTCTGTGTGCGCCTCCCTGGGGCGGCTCCCGCCGGCCACTGTGCAGTTGTGCGGCCGTGTCTGCCGGCGGGCCTCACCGGACGCCGGCCGTGGGAAGGTCTCCGGTAATTGGCCGGCTCGGAGCGGGTCACCGCCACCGGGCGAGCCGGGCAGGTGCGGCGGACGCGCGCCCCACTTCCGGCGGGCGCGGGGCGACCCTCTCCGTCCACCGTCCCCCTCCCCTCCCCCTCCGCCACCGATACCCGCCGTATCCGGCCACCCGTTCCTGCCGCAACACCCGCGAGGAAAATAGGGAGAACTGGCCTTTGTTTGTGCTTGTGAATATGCCTGTGTGATATAGAAGGGAGCATTCTGAAATGCATTCAATTAAATTATGATTTACCATCGGTATCGTAAATGCACTGAAGCAGCCGCCGACTATTGCCGTGCTGTTGGCTTTCGATCCTAGCGGCTCACTCGCCACCGAGTCGGTTTAATGCCGATTTTTCCACCGGTGCCGCGGACCGCCTTCCATCCGGCCGATAATGTGCGGGGCCGCCGCGCGCCTCAGTCCCGACTGACCGTGACGCCGCTCCTTTGTTGTGCCAATGGAGCAGGTGGGCATTACTGGTCTGATCTCCTATTTTTGGAAAAACGGAAATTGAAAGGGTATGCAATGGGTGGACAAGTTTTTGCTTGATAATATCAAATGAAGGCAAACACTCGCATGATTTTTCATGGTTGATTGTTCGATCGGGGTCAGATATTCGGAACTGACAAATGGACCTTTATGTCGCAGCTGAGAGCGGGGCAAAGCGACCCTCTCTACACTGTGGCAGGGTTATTACCTTTTTAGCCATTTAAAATTCGATATGGAAAAAACTCAGGTCATTAAGTTTGCATATTTCAAAATTGCATAAAATTATTACGCCAAAATTGTTTTTATGGGTAAAGTGTCAAAATATTGGACGCCTGGCAAAACATCCGCCCTGCCCCACCCACATCGGATTTTCGTATTTTTTATTTGCATACCTATTTTTGGGCAATTTACGAGTATACATATGGGACCGTACTGAAACAAACCATTTCATTCACCGAAAACGTGTCGCAAAGCTTCCAATCTTTCAACGAAATCGAATACTGTATATACACCGGATAGATATCAGATAAAGACATTTGAGCTCAGATCCCACATCTATCCAATCAGATCCATGCAAATATCTGACTCTAAGTTAGATAGATGTGCTATACATAATTACGGAGCGAGCGAAGCGAGCGTAGTCTTTCCTTAGATTAACGGAAATTTCTGAGTATGAGCGGCCGGCCGGCCGGCCGGCCGGCCGGCCGGCCGTGGTCACGCTTTTGCGAGGCTTATATCTCAGCAACCACTTGACCGATTTACACGCGGTAATTTTTGTAGGGTAGCTTCATTCCTTCTACCAAGTATTGGACTATTTCTGTTGCATGTGGGTGACCCCTTATGCACGTGCCACGTGCAAAACGAAGAGGTGTCCGTTTTGTAATTGTTGCAATATCTCGGTAACTACTTGGCCGATTGCGCTGAAAGTTGGCATGTAGGTAGGCACCCACTAGGCACTGCATATCCATGTGCCAGAGTTGGGGCGCTGCTGCACGTGCGCACGTGCAGGGGTCGTTTCCAGATCTCGAGAACGGCTCGACCGATTGCGCTCAAATTTGGTACACAGTTAGGGACCGGTTAGTAGGGTGCCGTGCACAAGTCAGTTGGGACCCATTTTGCACGTGCGCACGTGCAGGGTGCCGCTTCCAGATCTCGAGAACGGCTGGGCCGATTGTGCTCAAATTCGGCACATCGCTAGAGACCGGTTAGTAGGGTGCCGTGCACAAGTCAGTTGGAGGTACCCCCTCGCAATTTCGCACGTGCAAGGCCCACCCTCTCGCTCGCTCCGTTAGTCGCCCCATAAGGCGCTATACTGGTGTGTATTGTGTTCTATGCTCTATTTTTATGGTATATGTACTAGGACGTACTTGTTTTTGTTTTTTTACTTAATGTTTTGTGCTCTAAATTTAATATGCACGCTATGCTTTATGTTGTAGGCACGCGTCTTTGTTACGATTTTTTTCTGGTGTGCTCTTTTTTGTTTGTTCTATGTTGTGCATGTCTTCTATGATTTGTTCTATGTTGTAAATATGTGTTATTTTATGTGCTCTATGTCGTATGTCCTACTCTATACTCTGTTATCTGCTATATGTTCTATATCATGTTTTCTATATCATATGTTCTATGTTCTATGCTCTGTTCTATGTTTTGTTTCTTCGTGTACAGATGGCGACACATGCCGGCCATCCCGACATGCGAGGACGGGTTCCCAGTGCTCACCATTCACCTCAGAGGCCGCCACCGTACCGTTTCACCACCGCTGGCTGCATGGTAAGTACCCATCGACTGGGACCCGGCATTGTTCGGAGATAACTTACACAGTTGGGATGATGTCCTGTGATACACACATGATCTATACGGGCGGGGGGAAGGGGGGGTACGTAGGTAACGACCAAATTTATGGGGCAACGTCATTGTTAGATGTTCACTTGGCATAAGAATCACGTAAAATGGGAATACCTATGACCGGCTTTGTACCTACCTATTTTGAGATATCAAACAACCATATTCCCTAAATTGAACCATAGAATCACTAGAGCTGTAAAAATGCGATGTGTGTAATTATGAGGGTACAAAAAATATAGGTAGGTAGAAGGTACAATTAAGGTCATACCTAATCCTATGTGAGGTAAAATGGACGTAACATGCTATGGGTTAGGGTATGATGGCCACTTGGCTCAGTTCCTTATGTTACCTTGTGGTTTGTTAGCTTAAAATGCTTTCATGGTTCGGAATGTGTTGTGCATCGATTGATCGAGGCATGCAGGTATTTTATGTAATTTTCTAGTGGATGAGTTCTATCGTCAGATTAAAATCCAGCTGCAGGTAAATGAAGATAAACATTCAGTAGATTGTATTCATTTTATGATTACTTATAGGTACGAACATGAACGGCCGCAGGGAAACAACCAAGGACCAGGCTACCCTTTGAATCACGCTTTGGGTTCGCACAGCTTCAATTCATTGATACAATTGCTCACAAATGCAACAAACATTTACACGATCAAGTCATTTCTACACATATGTACCATATTTACACACTCAGTGCGTGGTCGTGCACTGAGCGCACAGCGAGACATTATAGAACATGTCATTTATATAAATCCGTTCTGAATCTGGAATCCTATGCTTTGACTCCGTATCTTCCGCACGTAGAAGTTGTTGACGTAGAAGAGGTTCTTGAGGTCGTTAAGCGAGTACTGGGTGCCCCGCTCGTCGTGCTGGGCGAACATGAGGAACGTTTCGACCAGGTTCACTTCCACCTCGTTTTTGCCGCCGTCTGTCCAGTCCTGGGCCATGTCATAGGTGCGCTGCAAAACACGGCCCAACGCGCTGTTAGTGGGAGCGGCACACCTAACCATTGGTGGACGCGCCAACACTCGGGCTCAAATTAGGGGTAAGGGATTAGTGTAAATGCGTATATCTTTTGATTTGATATTCTATTAGACGTCTAATAAACGCGTAAATACAGGCGTTCTACAGGAAAATTTAGAGAAATGCTCGTATACTGCAAGGGACTAGTTCCGTCATCCAACTCGCATGAACTTGACCAAAACACCTATGTGGACTGACCTTCATGAAACACTCGAAGTCCATGAAGCATGTTTCGGGAGCTTCGCCATCCTCGGCTTCCTCAGCGGCGCTGCAAACAGGTTAAATTTAGCTACCGGCGTACAAAGATGGAAGGAGGCGCGTGGTCGTTGGTCATTGGGCTATGTCAGTTATGTATCGCTACTTCCACGCGTCTTTTACAGGAACGGAAGAGGGTCAGTGAATATTAACCCGCGCACCGACGGGGGTCTGCGCCAACTTAGTACCGACGGGGGGGGGGGGCGGATGACCGCCCCCCCCTGAGATCTCGAGAACGAAGCAAGATAGCGACAAGCGGTAAACGGCATCGGATACGCACGGACAAGGTCTACAATTTTTACTAAGGTCATTTTCAGGTCAGGTCAAAGATGACGTCACAGGGGTCGAAAAAGTCAAAATGGCGGCGCTAGATATGGAGAGGGTTTTTCTCGAATAACTTTCGAAGTAGTCAAGATAGGAACAAACTAAGGGCATCATCGTGATCCTCTCGTCAATCCGCATCGAATGATATATATATATATATATATATATATATATATATATATATATATATATATATATGTTGACCTCGAAAGGTCAAGGTCAAAGGTTGACCTCAGGTCACGTGACCTCGAGGTCATCATGTATATCATTCGATGCGTCTTGACGAGCTGAACACAATGAGACCATCCGCGCGGCTGTATCTTGTTCCTGTAAGGAGTTATTGGCAAAAAACCTTTGGTGACCTTTGATGACGTCACATGACCTTACAGCTGCCCAACAGCAAAACAGACCTCAAGGTAGTGAAGTTTGATCGTATGTGAAGTCATGTATGGTATATGGGGCCATTCCGACCCGTTTTAGTGGTAAAAACAGGGAGTTGATTTTTCCCCCATACATTGACTTATAATTGGGAGGTCGCGAAATTGACCTGACCTTAGGTCACCGACATCAAAATTCCGAGATATTCAAATTGTAGCTACTAATGACCTAATAACATCCTGCGACTTTCAAAGGCCTCCGACATCTACTGTAGCTCTGGCACGGTGAAAGTGACTTGAGGTTGGGTCATTCAAAGTGACCTGGTGACCTGACCTTAAAAGTTAGGAGGTTCAAACTTGCACACCATGTGTAAAATTGATGAGAGAATAGTCATACCAAATTTCGCGGCGCTACGCGCCGCGGTTTTCCCGCTATCCGCGAAAAACCTCAGGGGGGGCGGATATCCGCCCCCCCCCCGTCGATGCGCGGGTTAACAAACGGCATTTACAAATCACCTTAATTTGCAAGCAGCATTTAGGTATACTTACAATTCGTTCATGTCCAAAACGCCGTCGCCGTTGTCATCTAGCATCTGGAAGATGCCTCGAACATCAGCAATAGTTGCATCGTCCCAGCCACTGCAGAGGGATCGGAGTTTGTCCATACCCTCCTGCCCATCAGTAAACTTTTCCATCGCCTGTTGAAAAAAGGCGTGTCAATCGGTGTTCGGTTACGCAAATAAAGTGTCACAAAACTATTCATTAAAGGGACTATCCCACCTTTAACATGGGGTTTGAGTTGAGATAGCCAAGTTTGCGGCGAGGTTCAGAAACCACTATCTATCTAGGTTGCAACCCCCGCGGCCTCTTGGTGTTGAAGAAATTCGTTCCCTTCATTTGAAAATGGGCCTTGTGCAAGGCCCTATCTTTAACATGGAGCGACCGTTAGTGTGACGTCACCTCGTTTAGTCATTCTGATTTAAATGGGTTTGTTCGTTGAAAAATCGCTTAAAACTTGGTCTGAACTTTGTTGTGGTGCCTACAGAGTAAAAAGAATCAGCTTTATGGCAGTAGGTAATGTGGCCTGGGGAAGGAGGTAATTTTGGGCTGTGACGTCACATATTTGAAAGTTTGTGTTTGGAATATGGGAAGCCTAAGATGTTTAATGAAAAATAAATGCCAGAACCGTGTTCCTGGTCCTACAATCTATAAAGTCGGGCACAATTTAACTGGTTTTAACAACATTTTAGAAGGTGGGATAGTCCCTTTAATGACGGTATTTTTAAGCGATTTTGTATTAACAAAATAGTACGTACTCACCTCATGCAGTTGTCCCCTGGAGATCTTCATTTGGTCATAAGCTGACGCGGGAAGACAGTCAAAGCGTTTGACCACGTCTTTTGCTGACACCTGGTTGAGATCTAAAAAATGAAATAATTAAGGTTACGAAATAACTTAAAATGCATTTTCACATGGAGTTAAAACTGAATAGGTACTCTACAAGCAGCCAAATAGGACTCGGCATGTAGTTTTTGAACATGAACCTACTTTACCTACCTACTGTACTGCACACTGTGCCTACAGGAGTCTGGGTATAATGTCATTTTTAAATGTTATTACTCACTTACCTTTTAAAGGAAGGCCGTATAATATTTTCGTCTGTTGGACCGGAAACGAGAAGCTTCGGAGGGAAAACAACCGGATTACTTTGGAAAGACATGTGCCCATGAATCATCATGATTTGCTAATAAAGCTCTAATTTGCAATGCTGGTTCAAATAATTGAACGTTGTTTTTCCTTTCACCTTGGTCATGAATTTTACGTTAAGCTTAACAGATGTAAAATGATTGGTGCCAAGTTATATTCAAATAATACTATAGTAAACACGGCACGCCATTAATCGCCGCCTAAAGGAATTTACCGAATTCACCGACTTGCTTTTTGGATATTGGATGACGAGCACGTGCTTTCCATTTTCACTTCCTATCAAAGAAAATGAAAAAAAAAATGTTAGGCAAATAAAGGCGTATCATAATGTTGAAAATGACCTTATGCTCATGTTACGGTAGTGAAATGATAGTGAAATAAGGCAAGAAAATATATAAAAGCATAAGAAATGTACTAAAATATATTGTACCAGAAATAAATCGAAACTAAACTTAACTTAAAAACCAGAAATAAAGCAGAACTCCGGCTTATGGAAAGGTTTCGTACCTACCTAATTATTTAATCTTCATTATAATTTTGTCAGTGATACGCATGATATTTTATGGCGCTTTTAATGCATTAGCTCTACGTGTCCTTCGTGTGGACTAGAAGATGAGGTAACTCGTAACTCGGTTTGTCTCATAACTCTGTTTGTCTCGTAACTCGTTGGTAACAAGATCGCTGCCGGAGAGATCCAGTTGTTTGACCCGTGCTTCGATAATCAGCCCCGCGCCTCGTGTAAATTGCGAGGGAACTCTAGCGATAGGTGTGACGTTTTCAACCATTCGTGGTCGGTGTACAGCCCTTTCGCATGTACTATGTAGGCCGTCCGCGTTATGAAAAAGGCCTGGCCTGGCGAGGGTTAAGGTACAGTCCACCGCTAAAGTAGTGTAAAAAGTTAGCGGGTAGTTAAGCTTTGCATCTGTATCTTAGGAACTGCTTGTCAGTCTACCATCAAAATTGGAATATAACTTGCAAGTACCTACCATCATCCTTGCAGCTGCAATTTCGTCTTTTGCTCTCTTCCCCTGGATCACTCTGTATTTGAAAATTCAGTCTAAGCCATCTGTTGAGATTGACAGAACCTCACATTACTTTAGCTGTGGGCTGGACCTGAGCCATGTCTTTCTCGGCTGCTCTTCCAAACTCTCCCTTCTGCGATTGTCTAGTTTATTAAATCGCAAAACATAATAAAACATAATAAAAACACTAACAATAACAAGACAGGATTGATGTAGCAATAAATAATGATGCGTAACTCAACAAATGCACATTAATACTTTTTCACATCGATGACGTAACAATACAGTACCTAACGGGAAACGCTGCGACACAAGCTGTAAAATAGCTCCTTGAAAGAAATACGCTTGATAGGTACCGACATTTTATCTACCAATCTTGCACTCTATTTTCATTCTTGTCCGGGTCATTAAGATAAAATTTGCGACAATTTGCAGCATGCGTTTTCATCAGGGATTCTGCATCCTAAGCGTTACAGAGACAACAACGTCACCAAGGGACCTCACTCATGAGATATATGTAGCTGACATACACAGACATGCCCGACACAAACGCTGGACACTAGTTAATCATTGAGGCTTCGACTTGCTCTTTGCCGATCGAGCGGGCACATACTTTTTGCCGTGCTTCCTGAGCTCGCTTTTGGAGTGCCGCGGCTCGGCCGGGGCGCTGTGGTCCTCCTCGGCGGCCGGCTGGCTGCGGTCCTCGGCGGCCGGCTGGCTGCGGTCCTCCTGGTCTTCCGGTCCGCTGTGGTCCTCCTGGTCTTCCGGTCTGCCGTGGGCCTGCTCGGCGGTCAGCAGCTGGTCCAGCATGGCGTCCAGGTCGATGGGCCAGGCCGACTTCTCGGCGCTGCGTCGCCGGCGCCGCCTCTTGCCGAAGGCCAGGAAGGCGGTGGTGCCGAGCACGGCGGTGCCGGCCACCATGACGGCGCCCATCAGCGGCAGCTGCCTCTGCAGCTCCTGCAGGAACGTCGGCGCAGGAGTGGTCGTCGTCGTTGTAGCCGCCGTCGTGGTCGTGGTCGTGGTCGTGGTGGTTGTCGTCTCGGCCGCAGAGGGCGCTCCTGCGTCCGCCGCCGGCGCTGTGTCCTTGAGGACGATCTTGGTGTTGTCTGTGGTAGTGACCTTCACCCCGAGGCTGCCCTGAGCCACCTCTGTGACCGGACCCTCGGCGGGCAGCTCGGTGGCAGGCGCTGCCTCTGTGGTCCGCTCGGTGGTGACCGCGCTGGAGGCGGGCCGGCTGGTGGTCGGAGTCGCCGCCTTCTCCGGTGACGGGGCCGGCGTCTCGGCGCTGGCGGCCGGCGCCGGGGTGGTGGCTGGGAACACGGGCCGGTTGTTGACGAACACGGTGGGTCGGCGCTGGGCGTCGGGCGCGGCCGTGGCCGGCGGCTCGGCCGTGGTGGTCGGCTCCGTGGTGAGCGTCACGCCCAGCTGAGCGGCGTTCTCCTGCGAGAGGATGGTGGGGATCGGGCGCGGCCGCAGCGACGGCATCGGCCGGAAGCCGGGCTCGGTGACCCGCGGAGCGTCCGTGACCGGCTCCATGGCGCCGCCCTCCGAGTCCTTCATGCTGTCCATCATGTCGTGTACCATCGAGGCTTTGTGCGAGGCCGGCTGGGCGGCGGTGCTGAGCGTGATGAAGGTGACCGGACTGTTGGTGGTCTCGGGCTGCTCCGGGGCTGGTGGCGGCGCGGAGGCAGGCATCATCTCTTCCTGCATCATGTCCTCCTGCTCCTCCATCATCTCCTCACCCATCTCCTCGGGCTCCATCTCGGGGTCATACGAGCCGCTGCCGTCCGGCTCCTCGGCCGACGAGACGAGCTGGTCGCGCAGCGTCTGGATCGAGTTGATGACGCCGTCCTGGAGCGCCTCGTAGCCCTGCAGGCCCGGGTAGCGCTCCGAGACGGAGACGGCTGTGTTGGTGCCGCTGAAGCCGCCGTTCATGGTGGAGCTGATGATGCTGCTCACCATGGCCTCCTGCTGCGGCGTCAGCGGCTCGGCGGCGTCCATCACCATCAGCGGACGAGACACCACGTCCGCCTTGCTCTGCTTCTGCGGCGCCGGCGCGCCCAGGGCGCCGCTGCCGCGCACGCCGCGCAGGTAGCCCAGCCAGGCCTCGGGGATGTGCACGCGGCGCGCCGGGTCCGCCGCAGCGCCGGCCGCGTGCGGAGAGATGATCTGCGTGCTGCGCTTCCGACGCCGACCTAGAAACAGAGGCAGCCAAAGCGGTGAGAAGGCCAGCGCGCTAGCAGCCACCGTGGGCATCAGCGTGTTAAACATGTTGGGTCCGGCGGGCTGGTTAGTGGCGGCGGGGCGAGCAGGGGCAGGCGCGGGCGCCGGGTCGGCGAGGGAAGCAGGCGGGGCGACCACCGGGGGCGGGCTGTCACCCAAAGCGTGCTTGTAGTCATACGTGTGCCCGAAAAGCTGCTTCATGGGGTTCACTGTAACCGACTCAGCGTAAGTGTAGTTAGCGGGGTTAAAGTTATGCGGAAGCAGGCCGAGGATGCTGTCGTCCTCCGCGGCGGAGACGTTGGGGAAGGGCACGCTGTTGAAGGCGTTGGCGGCCGCCGGGAAGACGTTGGGCAGCAGCGACAGGATGCTGCCCACGGTGAGGTTCTGGTGGTTGACGTTCGGCGAGTCGACCACCGGCGCCGGCGTCGTGGTCGTCGTCGACGGCGGCGTGATGGTCACCGTGAAGTAGTAGAGCGGGTCGTGCGTGGTGGTCTCGGGCGGCGGACTCGGCGGCCGCAGACCGGCCCCGGGCGAGGCGGGGTTGGCGGCCGGCCCAGCGGCGCCCCCCGCTCCGCCGAAAAAGGACGGTCGGACGGTGGCGGAGGGACGCGGAGCGCCGTACGAGGAGGCGGGACGCGGGCCCTGGTACGAGCTCGGGGGCTGGGGGGCCGAGTACTCCGTCTGCGGCCGGGGGGCGCTGTACCCTGCTGAGGGCCTGGAGTCGCTCTGAGAAGGCGCCTGCTGGGGAGGCCGGTACGCGCTGGAGCCGGCGGGCGGCGCCGGTGTGGGACTGGGGTCGGCGGGCGGCTGCGGCGCCTGGTGGGCCGCCGCCGGGGGACTGTTCGGAGGCCGGTACTGCTGGTCCGGCGCGTCCGACGGCGCCCCGTCCTCCTCGGTGACGACATTGATGACGTAGATGTTGACCACGTTGGTCTTAGAGGTGGTGTTGACGTAGAAGTTGTTGTTGCGCCGGATGGTGGTGTTGAGCAGCCGGCTGAGGTAGGACTTGTCGACGTCGTGTCTGCTCAGCACCGCCTGCCGCTGGCTGGGGTCAATCTGCTGGCCGAGCAGGCCGCGCATGATCATCCTCATGTAGCGCTCGTCCACCATGTTGTTGTTCATGGTGGCGAGAACGAGGTCAGAGTCGGGGTGTTTGATGAGCTGCGCGGTGGCCTCCTCCACCTTGAAGCTCTGGTTGCCGACCCGGTGGTGTCCGGACAGTTGGCTCAGCACGCGCATGATGCCCACCTGGGTGCCGGGCGGCAGCACCGTCACCTGCGGCGAGGTGTTGGTCGACCCGTTGGACGTCACCACCACGTTGAACGTGTCCACGTGCGGGGGCAGCGCCTCGGTCTGGACGGGCGAGCTGGCCAGCTGCGCCAGCAGGTCGCCGGACAGGTCCGGGCCGCCCACGGCCGGGTCAGCCGGGGCGGCCGGGGGCGGCGGCGGCGGCGGCGGCGCCGGGGCGGCCACCACTGGAGGTGTGGGGCTGGGGCGGGGCGCCGGTCGCGCCTTCAGACGCTCCACGTGGCCGGCGGAGGGCCGGTACTGGCCGTCCGGCAGGCGGTACTGGCCCTCTGACGGACCGTAGTGACCCTCTGATGGACCGTAGTGGCTCTCGGGCGGGCGGTGCTGGCTCTCTGACGGGCGGTACCCGTTCTCCAGTGGCCGGTAGTCAAAGCGGCGCTCAGAATGTCCCTCCTGTGAGCCTGGAAACGCAGCCGAATACAGAACGGTGCCGTCCGGTACGGGGTTAGTCACAGAGACACTGCAGGGCTCGCCCCACTACTCTAGGCACCTTGGACCTAAGAATTATATTGGGTTAGTATACTACAGGGTGACCATACGCAAATATTTACAAATATGAGAAGTTGTACCTCATTAAATGTAATGAAATAGAGGTGGGGCAATTATTTACGAGACCTGACAGAAGTTAAAACAAAAGTTCATGCAACTGCTCCGGCTATAGGATCATCAGCACATTATGCTACATTATGTGCGGTGTGCACTGTTAGCTTTAAACGTTTTCAATATGTCAACGCGAACATGCTTGGCTACTACAATTTATACAGGCGAACATTCAGTGCATCATATATCGTCTCATGAATGCAAAACAGGTACAGACTAACAGCAATTTGGGAGACAATTTTACATGACTGACATATTCAGATTGTGCGTATGGTGTAGTGATGGGGCGGTGTCAGGTGTAAACTGGGCCTGTGTTCCGTCCGTGTCGGCGTGTGCCCTGTGTGGTGGCTGGCTGGTGTTGTCTGTTCCGTGATCCACTAGCGCCGCTCTATCACGGCGGCTCGTCACGGTCCACCTGAGTGTGTGTGAACACCGCGCCGTCTCCATAACGGATAATGTGTCCGACTCCGAAACCAATCTGTCTCTCTCTCCCTCTCTCTCTCTCTCTCTCTCTCTCTCTCTCTCTCTCTCTCTCTCTCTCTCCACCTCTCTCTCTCTCTCTCTCTCTCTCTCTCTCTCTCTCTCTCTCTCTCTCTCTCTCTCTCTCTCTCTCATTCTCTGTCTCGTATGTTTTCCTCTGTCCGTAGGTTCCCTGATCTTCTGTCCGTGTTCTGCTAGCCGTGTTTCTGTGTTTCCAGGTCATCTGTCCGTCAGTTTCGCAGGTCTTCTCTCCGTGTTTTTACTGTCCTCTGTCCGCATCCCCCGGTACTCCGCCCGTGTTCCCCTGTCCTCTGCCCGTGTTCCCCTGTCCTCTGCCCGTGTTCCCCTGTCCTCTGTCCGTGTTCCCCAGTCCCCTGTCCATGTCCCTAGTCCCCTCTCCGATGGCTACACCGACTCACCGTCGCTGGGCAGCGCGGCCCCGCCGACCATTGTCAGCAGCACTGAACAGGCGGCGCAGACCGTCACCAGCCGCCATCCGCCGCCACCGCAGGCCGCCATCTGCCGGCAGAGAGCCGGCGCCGCCGGTCAGACTGACAGACTGACGAACAGATGCACAGGAGAGCCCACACGCACAGGGACAGATGGAGACGCGGAAACGGACCGTAACAGTCCACCTCCGGCGTGACCTGGTTGTCAGTCTATTACGGACGGAGGGATAAACAGCCCAGTGGGACACACACGGACAGACGACAGACGCTCCACTGACAGACACACTCTGCACGGGAGGACAGGTGGGCAGATGAACCGACAGCCGACCTCCACTGGACAGCGGGAAGACGGTCCGCGGCCACTCACAGACCGGCTGGCGGTGCTATTTAGAGTACCGCCGTTACATAACGCGGCGGCGGTCCGCGGCGGTGGCTGTCAGATAATCGGACTGCCCTGTCAGCGGCGATGTAGGACATCTCGCGGCTGCCAGAGCCGACACCCATTACTGGTGAGTGGGGTAGCCGGCGGTCCATCACGAGACCGCCGGGCGGTCCATCACGAGACCGCCGCCGCCGCGAGACGCCGCGTACAGTGAACTGGGACCGACCACCGAGCCTGCTGTGGACGACATACGAGTCACACGGCGGCCGAGGCAGCGCCACGACGGCCGGATATCTCGGCCGGATAGTGTCGGTAGATAGCGGCCCCGGGGCGCTACAGATAGAGATCGGGCGTGTCGTCCCGCGCTGACGGAGCCGCTGGTGGGACCGGACCACCGGGTATCCTGTGTATCAGCTGTCTGTAGGTGATACTGGATACCGCTGTGGCCCGCCGCGCCGCTGTCTCGGCGCCGACCGGGACCGTTGGTTGTTGGCGGAACGGGCACACGGAACCAGTTATCGGGACGCAGATCGCGGCAAAACATAGATCACATGGTGATTGGTGACTGCCCGCTGGCGGAGCGGTGCCGCGCGCTGGAACGGCGGGACCTCGGTATACGGAGCCAGGAGACGGCTGGTAACACCGCAGGGCCAGCTGCCTCCGTGGACGGCACGGATATTCATGATCTGGCGGAATTGTGCTGCAGATTTTGACACAATACACCAGTGAAGAAAATGTATCCGGGCATTGTCCCGTGATTTGAGATATTGAAAGGATGAGCTAGTTGGTTCTAGAAACATTCTCACTTATTCAGATTTCAGAAGTGCGCCCACTGCATTCATGCATGATTGGCGAAGGCCTACATACTCCACTACCACATAATCGAAAGTGCCCCTACCTATCGGACCGTGGAATGCGCACAAAGAGTACCCCAGAGGCCAGTCAGTGTAGGTTATCCCGAATGTTCGTTTCACTACTAATGTATTTATGTCTTTACAGTCACAGAAGTTGTAATAAAATTTTCAGGTGAGTGATATTATGTAATTACACTTTCTGTAGGTATAACTTTCAGGTTAATAACTAATGGTTTAAACTTAGCGCTTAAGCTACTTCATTACTTCATAAACACTTCATCCAATGCATTCATGGGCACTGATGAGAAATATGAGGCTGGTAAATACACCTTTTACAGCGGCGGCAGCTGACGGAGTATGATAGTCGAGTTAGGAAGGGTTAGGGATGGGGTGGGAGGGAGCGCTGCCGCCGTACCGACTGTCAGCCACGGTCGGCCGCCGCCGACCCCCGGTGACCCGGTTCGAGCCCGGCCGGCAGCGCGCGTCACACCGCGGCGTGACGGCACCGCGTCACGCCGCGGTAACACTGACCTCTATCGCTGGGCCGCCGCCGAGTCACGGCGTGTGACCGCCGCGTGTCGGCCGATTTGCGGGTCAATCACACCGGCCGGCACAGAGCACTCCGGCGGAGACAGATGAGAAGTAATTTAGCCGGCTGAATGGAAACTCAGATCCGAGTGTAACAAGTCCCCATTTCCATTGAATGAGATGCAGTTAGTCGAAGTTTTCTTTTGAGCTGATACTTACGACATTTACTGACTTTTAGGTCGTTAAATTACTTGTTTTGGATCAATGAAGTCTACCTATCTGGTACCGGCTGTAAAGAACTATCAGGGCAGGAAAGGATTATTCGGCTACCTTGCGTAAAATAACTACGTGAGGCACTTAACCATAAAGTGATTAAGGATGGTAAGGGGCGCATACATCTGCTCCAGAGGTCGACGTTCCGCCTCACCGCTGATCTATGTACGCCAAGGCGGACGTGTCTGCTATGTGTCCCGGCCGTCACGCTTTCCATCTGACTGACGGCGAGGCAGTTGTTCTGGTCGGTCCGAGGACTGATAACACAGGACCCTCAGCGTGTGTGAGCGCGCGAGCGAATGTAACTGTGTGTTTTCTCTGGGTACTGTTAGACGTGAGAATGTTAGGTAGGTAGGAGCTAAATTTTCATACCCAATTCCGTTTGGAGCAGAAGAGCTGTCTCTGCAGAGTAATGGTTACCGTGATGCTGATTGGCACTGGACCCAGTGAAAGCCATTGTTATTCGATACACCGGTTTCAGGTATTTGAACGTTGTGCTGAGCATTGTTAATAAGATTATTAGAAGGATGAAGAATAACCTGTTGCTCATTTCTATCAGAAATAGAAAAAATAAACCAATATATATTCGGGCGTGGCCCTTCTTCAGTGGTACAAGATCACAACCGGTTGTGATCTTGTACCACTGAAGAAGGGCCACGCCCGAATATATATTGGTTTATTTTTTCTATTTCTGATAGAAATGAGCAACAGGTTATTCTTCATCCTTCTGATACACCGGTTGTTCCAACAGAAATAGGCGCCGTTTTTATTATTGAATAACAAACGCTGCTCTTCCCCCAACATCTTAGACAATGCTTATTATCTTTGTTTCATCACTTGGACAGGGTTGTGCTCGACTCAAAAAATTTGCCGACTCGACTCATCATTCAACTTCTGAAAGCCCTGACTCAACTCTGACTCAAACAAGGAACTTATTTTTTCCCTTGACTCGACTCATGACTCAAGCGGCTCAATGAAAATATGAGTCGACTCAAACTTGACTCAAATTTTTTAGTAAGTCAAGCGAGTTGACTCAAAATTGACTCAGACAAAAAAGTTGTTGAGCGGGGGAGGGGGGTGAAAAAATCCGGCAGCAGGGCCAGGGCGAAGTTGTAAAGCGGGGGGGGGGATGAACAGCTTGTTTCTAGAAAGTTGAGTTAGCTGACTCATGTTCCTAAATGTTTGACTCAAATCAATGTCAAAAGTTATTTTACTGACTCAACTCTGAGTCAACTCAACGTCTTAATATTTTTGTCCGACTCAACTCTGACTCAACTCAACAGCTCAACATTTTATCCGACTCGACTCAAATCTGACTCATTTGAGTCAGAGTTGAGTCAAATTTCTGACTCGACTCATGAGTCAAGCACAACCCTGCACTTGGATAAATTCTGCCTGCTTCACCGGTAACAAGCACCAACCGCAGGCTCAGACAACTCATTATTCCTGAAGTCTTCCCTAATGATGCTACTCCTCTGTCCCGGCTGATTTTCCAGCTGTTTGGTTATATTGCTTGAGCACTGCACTCCCCCTCTCTCTCTCTCTCTCTCTCTCTCTCTCTCTCTCTCTCTCTCTCTCTCTCTCTCTCTCTCTCTCTCTCTCTCTCTCTCTCTCTCTCGCGCGCGCGCGCGCGGGCTGTATTCAGGTCAGCGTTCTCACGCACTGGAAGCAGCGCCCACAGGCTCCCGGTATGGCGCGCAGTTTCACGGGACCTCGTGCAGGAGACAGGGGAGGCTGCCTCATACCAGACTGTTCCGTTCGGCAGCATGATACATCGCTGGGCCTTCCGGGGAGCGATTGACCGGGAAAGTCCACTGAACGGTATCTATTATAGAACAGGTCCCGATACTTATTGTTATGATTATGCTACCGATGCGACCCGTGATTTATTGGACTCTTCATTGCAGTCGTGCTTATCAATATAATTTTGCTGACGACATGAGAACAAGAGGCTGTTGGCGTCTGGCGATCCGGTGGTCTGGCGGCCCACGGCTCCCCTGTCCCGGTGCACGGGTCGCTCTGCGCGGCACGGCCGGCCCACGGCTCCCCGTCCCGGTGCACGGGTCGCTCTGCGCGGCGCGGCCGGTCCACGGCTCCCCTGTCCCGGTGCACGGGTCGCTCTGCGCGGCACGGCCCCAGCCCACGGCTCCCCCGTCCCGGTGCACGGGTCGCTCTGCGCGGCGCGGCCCCGGCCGCCGCGGCCCCGCGGACGGTGCCCAGCTGACCGATTTGCATCTGGCCGGCCGGGCCGAGACCGTTAGCGGCGGTGCGCCACTGTCGACGCTGGGTCGGACGGCCGAGCGGACACCGGACGGGTCGCTCACCCCGGTCCCCGCCGGCCGGCCAGCGCGTGGACACACTCACTCATTCACCTCAGACACACACACGTGACGCGCCGGGGGGCGGCTGCATGTGGGCTGTTGTAACCGCACAATCAGCTGGGGTCAGTGGGGGACGCGGCAGTGGAATAACACCAGCCCCAGCGGCGCCACAGGGAGACTGACAATGAGGGCGGCTGGAGCAGGAGAGCGGAGGGCTTATGTCGGCCAAACTAAACAGGCCGTCCTTTTGTATGAGCAGCTGCATCCACAAATGCACATTGCACATCTACGATGGGTCGTTTGACACCTATTTATGGACTGTTGTGCACCTCAATTATTTCCACGATCTCCAATATCCTGCACGCTCTGTTCTGTGGTCTTTCAGTAACGAACAGGCTGCTACACGGAAAGCACGCTACAGATAGCCGGTGTCCGCAACCGACGTTTGTGCCTGCTCTGAGCTGCGGGGATGGGACCTTTTGTCGGGATCGCCGCCGCATCCTCTGCGAACACCGCCAATACAGCCGTCAGTATACCGACCGGGATCAGCCGTCAGTATACCGACCGGGATTAGCCATATACTGGCCACCCGGGATCAGCCGTGAGTATACCGACCGGGATCAGCCGTCAGTATACCGGCCGGGATCAGCCGTCGGAACACCGGGATGAGTCGTCAGTATACCGGCCGGGATCAGCCGTCAGTATACCGGCCGGGATCAGCCGTCGGAACACCGGGATCAGACGTCAGTATACCGCCCGGGATCAGCCGTCAGTATACCGACCGGGATCAGCCGTCAGTATATACCGACCGGGATCAGCCGTCAGTATATACCGACCGGCCCCAGCCGCCGACCACCTGACGCGCGGTAACCGCCAGCCACCGACCGATCACCGGCCGCCTGACAACCAGCCTGCTGGGAAACAGCAGACCAATGGACTGGCAAACAACGAACCAACACACTGACAAACAAAGGACCAGCGGACGGGCATACAGCGGACCAGCGGACTAGACTGGCAAACAGCGGACCAGACCACTGACAAACAGCGGACCAACAGACCGACAAACAGCGAACCAGGAGACTTCTTAACGGCGGATCAGCAGGCTAACTGAACAGGGCACCAGAAACCCACCTGTGGCCAGTGGAACGGCAGACTTTTGAGTAAATAGCTATCAGAGCTACCGGTCTTGATCTACCGGCGGAGCAGGGAGTCCACAGATCAGTGAGCAGGCAGACTAGTACTCTACAGCACAGTGGACCAGCAGGCTACATAGAGGTCGGACGAAGGAGCAATGGAGCGAGCTACAATGCCTGTCATTTTTAGCCATTTTGCAACTCTGAATCACACTTACACGCTGTAGGGCTGCAAATTCATGGTGTTCTTGCACACGCACGTAGGTATGTAGCCAGCACAGATTATGCAGCCATGACCGGGAAACTGCAACTCGTGAGTATGTAGCTAACGCCAAGAGACTGCAACTTTTAGTATGTAGCTATCACCAGGAGTCTGCAACACTAAGTGGGCAACTATCTCAACTTTAACTATCATCAAGGGACTGCAACTTTAAGTATGCAGCTACCCATCATTGGGAGACTATAACTATGAGCATGTAGCTATCACTTTGAGACTGCAGCTATGAGTATGCAGCTAACACCGGAAGACTGCAACCAAGAATATGTAGCTAACACCGGAAGACTGCAACTCAGAATATGCAGCCAACACCGGAAGACTGGAACCAAGAACATGTAGCTAACACCGGAAGACTGCAACTCTGAGTATGTAGCTAACACCGGGGAAGGCTTCAATCATATGTAGTTATGTATCACCGAAAAAAACTGTGAGACTGTCAGTGGTAGCCTGTCCCGTAACTCAGATGGTAGAGCGTTCGACTCCCAGTAGTGAGAGCCCGGGCTCGAGTCGCTCCGGCGCTCGATATTTGAGACTCCCGACGGAGACTAGTCTGCGGTTGGTGGGAGTAGCCGCAGCCAGGTAAAGTAAGTTGAGTGGGGCAGGCCGTGCCCACTGTCCGGCTTAAACCTGACAGTCGGTATAAAGGGCACCTTAAACCTTGGTAGGTATCTAAATTCTCTCGTTACTCGGAATCGCGCGATCGGACGGTAGGGGTCGGGGTCTACGCAACAAGCCCTGCTTGGCGCGTAGGTTCCGGCTCTGTCAATCCGTCCATTCAAACGTTCGGGCTAAACTTTAAAAAAGACTCCAGCGCTAAGTATACATATATCAACGGGAGACTGCAACCCTGAATATGTAACTATCGCTGAGCTGCAGCCTGTCAGCGTTAGTTACAAACTCAAAGCTATGGACTCCCGGCCTTAGTAGTTATCCTGGTGTTGCATTCTCCTTTTGATAGCTACATATTCAGAGTTGCAGTCTCCCCTATGATGCTTGACATGCTTTCAGTTTCAGTCGCCTAGTGAAAGCTATACCTACATACTCGGAGTTGCAGTCTTCTGGTGGTAGTTACATACTTAGAGCTGCAGTCTCCCGCTGATAGCTACATGCTCATGAGCTGCAGTCTCCCGCCTCCCGGTGATATTTACATGCACAGGGTTAAAGTCTCCCGGGTTGAGAGCAATATATTCAATGTCGTAGTCTCCAGTTGATAGCTATACGCTCAGAGTTCCGTCCAGCCGGAGATGCATGCTCAGAGCTGCAGTCTTCCGGTGATAGCTACATACTCAGGGTTCCAGTCTGATGATAATAGCTGTATATTTAGAGTTGCAATCTCTCGGTGATAGCTACATACTGCGAGCTGCAGTCTCCCGGTGATGGTATCACACTCATTACCCAGAGCTGCAGTCTCCGTCGGTGATGTTCGGCGCTGCAGTCTGGCTCTGCCGCGCTGCCACCCACCTCTGACTGTGTGGGAGCTGTTCGGCCGTGTCGATCGGTGTCCGTCGGCTGCTGCTCCTGTGTCCCCGCCGTCCGCCGCCGTCTGCCACACTGCTCTGAGCGGCGGCCGTCCGTGAGCCGGACTCCGCAGCGCCGCTCGGTCAGCAGCGCCCTCTCCGTGACCTACATCGGCCGTCCGGTGTATTCCGGCCCGAGTCTCCGTACGGCAGACGGCTGATACACACAGACTGCTGACAGTCTGCTGACGGACAGACTGCCGACAGACAGACTACTGAACGACTGCCGCCAGACTGCCGCCAGACGACTGCCGCCTTCGTCCGTCAGATTTCCCTCCCGACCGTCCCTGACTGGTCGGCAGTTGGCGTGGCCCGAGCCAGGGCCGGAGAGTTCAGGGAGGGCCTGGGACAGTTTTTTACCGGGCTCGTGACTGAGGCGCGGCAGAATGAAGGTCCTCAATGTAGGATGGTGAGACTCTCTGCACGTCTCGTTCTAGGATGCCGAGTCTGTTTGCAGGACCCATTGTGAAATTTCCAAGCGGCCGGAAATCATGTTTGCTGTGCGTTACGGCAACTGGGCGGCTCGCTCTTCTCCAGACGGACAGACCGACCGTCCAGGCCCAGCCAGTTGAGTACGGGGTCTTCTAGGAATTTGATGATTAATTTTGTATGTTGAGGAATATACTCTTTTTGAAACTGAAGGCGTGCAGCGTATGAAAGTTCGCATTAATTTGCACCAATTCATATGACATTGGTTCTCATACCAAACGGGGAGTTTCTCCCCGGCTGAAGTGATGGTTGCAGGTAAAAATAACGTACTTTCCAAGTCATGTCATTTCATATTGGAGGAAGTGCACATTTATGTGCTCTCTAATTTTGTTTTCATATACATATTAGGACCGGATATATAATATATCCGGAGGATGCATCCAATGCAAACCGCCCAAGACGGCGTTCCGAACGACAGGGTTGCGTATGCTGAGTGGGCAAGTGCCGCGGGGTCAAGGATAGGAATGATTTGGTCCTGAGCGTGGAAAGGACGAATGGACTACCCTCTGAACTATTTGTGAAAATATATGCAGTGTTGAGTCTGATCATGATGTGATTTTATTTACCATAGTTATTTCGCAGCTTCACTGCAGCTGACTGCTAGGTTCGATACTGTTTTCTACATATACTTGACAATTAAATCAATGTGGTAGTGGCTTATTACACAGATGACAAATGCACATAATCACAAAATCACTCATGCATGTTTGGTACGATTCTTCAGCAGTCGCCTCAGTCGGCGCCTCCTTCGGATCGATCGCAGCAGCCTCTGACGATAGGTGGGTATAAGCTGAGATCCGTCGTCCTGCGGATAGATGGCGCTGAACGGAGACGGTACCGGGACCAGCCGAAACGAGAGCAGGTATTGCAGCAGCGGGGGGTACGGCCGGCGGCCCACGGACCTGAAAAAGGGGCATTGGGATTGTAAATTCTTTCAAATTTGAGCTGAAACACAATGCTGCACAGCAGTCAACGACGACCAATTAAGGACGCATCAAATACCTACCTAGGTACTATTGAGCGCAGAATCCGCGCTCATACCGGGACCGAGGCTGGGCCACGGCGGGGCAGGCCTGGTGTGTCAGAGAGTGTACCGATTAGTGTGATGCGGCACAGTATCCTATGAGGGTCACGGAATGACATGACCTGGCTGTTTCTGTTCCGAGTGGGGCGGAAAGCCGGGGAAGGAGAGCCGCAGTATGCGGCCGCAGCCCGCGTGGAGTGTGTGCGGCTAGACGTCAACGTGAGCGTGATGGCACACCTCAGTGGTCTTGACAAGGGCAGGCTCATCTTGCTTTTCGATCAAGGTCACTCTGTCAAGCAGGCGGCAGAGATTCTCGGTGTAGCTCTAACTACTCCCAGGCGGTGGAAACACCGTTATGAGCAGGAAGGGGAAAGGGGTTTGAAAGCGCGCTGTGATAAGTGTGGAAGAAAACGGAAGACGACGGAGGAGGAAGACAGGCGCGTGGTGGAGGTTCGTACTTTTCTTTTATTATTTGTTGCTGTTGTCTTTGCATTTCTAGGTCAAGACGAGCGTGTAGTATCAGATGACTAATCGGGCCAGCATAATGATAATATCGGGCCATAATGACTAATCGGGCCGGCATATAATGATAATATGTCGATTAAACAGCATGTCTAATTGATTAAACGTGTCAAACTATTTAATGAGGTTAGTGCTTGTACGAGGAACATGTTTATAAATAGTAGAAAATGTAAAAACCTGAACTTTTTTCCTCGATAATTACCAAAACTAATGCTGTACAAATATATACTTTACTTGACAGAATGTAATATTTATTTCGACCACAGGTCTTTTTCAAACATTTTCAAATTAGAAAAGTGTCAAGCTATTTACTTCAAGATAGGATTGATAATAATAGCGAGTAATTTTTTCGGATCTCGCTTAATGTCGAAAGAGCCACAGCTCAAACATTTTATGTTCATGTTGAATGCTTGTAAAGTTTGTGAGACAAAATCAGAGCACATAAAAAATTGAACCAACTGAACAATAGTTGGCGGTTTCCTGCCCTCTGGGTGTCTTAAAGAGACAAAACCTAAGATAAACGTTTTATGGTCTTTGTGTAACAGGTCAAATGCCAGTAAACGTTCGATTGCACAAGTCATATCCAGGTAGATATCGTTTTTGCCCAGCACGCCGTCTTCCCCGCACTCTTGCAAACGGTTCCATGTCAATTCCACCAGTGGCATTTCAAGCAGGTCAAACCAGTGACAACTACTCAACCAGTGACATTTCAACCAGTGACAACTCAGCCAGTGACATCTGAACCAGTGACAACTGAACCAGTGACAACTCAACCATTGACAACTCAACCAGTGATAACTCAATCAGCGACATTTCAACCAGTGACAACCAGTGACAACCAGTGACAACTCAACCAGTGTGCTAAATGCATTGGCTCTATTGTCACAAACCACGTTGGTTAAGTTGTCACTGGTTGAGTTGACTGTATACCCTTGTGAACATGTGCATTTTTTCATTGTTGTTAAATATGTCTTCACTACTTCGGCAGGTGTTTTTGCCCTCCGTGGAGGAAATGCACCCCGACGAGGAGCGACCCTGGACTCTAATGCAAGACAACGCCCCATATCCACACAGCGAGGGCAGTCAAGCAGTGGTTCGAAGACCACGCAGACTCAGTAAGTGGCATCATAAACCTATCATGGCTGCTAACTCTAAAGGCTGCCCCACACTGGACCTCGCATGCGGGTTGCGAGTTTTTGGGTTTTCGGGTTTCTTCAAAATCAAATAATACAATCTAGCTGAGCGACCCACACTACTATCTAACAAGCGAGTCTGCATGTTTTTAGCTTCCGAGCTACCTTGCATCGCATTCCAAAAGTTGATATTGAGTCAACTTTCGATTTTCCTCGCTGCGAGGTCTGCAAGCGCTACGAGGTTTGCGGGTTTTTCGTTGGAGTCGAATTTTGGTTCGTTCATGCTGGTATTGCGACTATATGTAGTTTTCTGAAGGTGTACCGGCTTCACAGCATTCATGAAGTGACCATGAGGGTACGGTCTAATTACTCTATGAGTTAGTATTATGCCCGCAAACTCAAAACCCTCATGCGAGGTCCAGTGTGGGGCGGCCTTAAGTTGTGGTATGGTTTAGCTAGGTGACCGGTGACCTGATGGCATTATTTAAAAAAAAAATTGAGATGCTGTTTATTTATTCATCTGTTTATTCATTTTCACCCCAACAGCAATGCATCCCAATTAGAGGAGGCGAGGCCTACGGCTATGTGCGGGAGGCCGCTTTGCCCCTGGTCACCTCGTCCCCGCCTGTTATAAACTTATTGAGATAACTTAAACAATTATTTAAAAAGTTCTTAAGATGCCTTACAAAATTGATCAGTAATGATCAAACACTTTCCAACAGGTGTTATTCGTTGCACCATACAGCTTCATATAGTCATGACCGATGTGTCAACCTATATCACGTTACAGTGAGTAACAAACATGGTTTTGTTCGCAGGTTCGTGCCATCCCCTGGCCCTCAATGAGCCCAGACCTGAACCCTATCGAAAATGTGTGGTCTCTAATGGTTCATGAGCTGGAGGAGGAGCTGCGCCAGCCCGCCCGGCAGCTCAACCAGGACGAGCTCTGGGCCGCCGTCTTGGCGAAATGGGAGGAGCTCCGCCGCCGCCCCGGCTACTTCCGGAGCCTGGTGGCTATTACGTCTCCACTCCGCACTGCCTCACACAGGCTGGCTCGTGGAGACAAGTTTATTGCTGAGGCAATCTGGGCTCATACACGAACACTAGTCTGTGCTGACCGCGACGCGACGACCACCGCACACGGCACACACGGCGCACGACCGCACCCGACACGCGCGCCAGACCGACTCTCTCGAGCCGCCGCGTCTGCGTGCCGGCGCCGCCAGTGGCGTCGCCAGCTCCCGGGCGGAGGGGGACAATTCGCGATACCACACCCTGCCGCCCTTTAAACGAACATATTCCCAGGCGCACGAAACAATGGCATGAGCACAAAGCATCATTTGTTTAGGCGCGCGCCTTCAGGGTTACCTCACCCCTTTACGTGAAACAATCACCTTTCAATCACAATCACAATCACAATCACAGATCCAATCACATTTCAAATATCGGCGATCAGACGCCGATAAGCCGCCCCGGGCGCCTCCGACGCCGGGCGGAACGGCACTGCGGAGCGCCCAGTGTGCGCGCCGCGCTCACGTTCAAGAGGCCCCACTGCACTGACCTCACCGGTGCAGCCGCCGCCGCCGCCGCCGGGGTCACCGGCGTCGCTAGCGCCGCCGCCACCGCGGTCACCCAGGGCACCACTGAGGCCACCGGCGCAGCCGGCTCCTCCCAGGTCACTTGCCTGACCGTCGCCCCCGCTGGGGTCACCGGCCTGACCGTCACCGAGGTTATCGGCGTGGCTGACGTCGCCGCCGCCGCCGTCACCGAGTGCACCACTGAGGTCACCTCCGCTGTCACCGGCACCGACACGACCTCCACTGGGGTCAACGCCACTGATACACCCTCCGATGAGGTCGCTGGCACT